CAGGTGAGGCAGAAACAGAGTACCGAGACTCTTAGGCCAGAGAACTTAGACCTGTCATCTGTAGTTTAAAAATAACTTAGATTATTAGAAACAGAGCCAAAGAATAAGTTGTTCACGTAAACAGAACTACCAGAAATAAAAACTGACATTCAACATGAACATCCAGTCCATGGTTAGGAGCTCTTCACCAATGGCTGAAGAGGTGACCGGCAAGCGGGACACCAGACGCCGAGAAGCATCCAGAACAGACCTGCAGCGGTGTGAGCGTGGGAAAGGAACGGAGATGACTGACCACAGCCCTCTGACAGGAGCTGAGGGAGGACCCGTGGGGCAGAGAACGGGAGTGTTCGGCTGACAACAACTACAACCGACAGAATCAAGACAAATATGGAGTCATTATTTAGGAAGCAAAATGAGTTCCAGGAAAGACAAGAGCTAATCCACACCTAGGCTTGGAGTCGGCAGCAGCAGGCCTGCAGAGAGCCCTGAGGGCAGGAGTGCAGATGACCAGCAGAGCTGCGGCCAGCCCCAGGCCATTGTCATATGCGCTCCCTATCCATTTCTAATATTACTGCCAACTATTCATCAAAAGCTCAGTCATGAGACCCATGAATAAAAACAAGTATTGGATTACACCACGTTTTTTGTTGCATGTTTTATACTTTTAAAGTTTTAAATCTTCCATGACTACATATCACAGATATTCTCTTGGAGGTTCTACCTATAGTTCCACTTCACACATTCACATAATTATACTGTATGAATCTACACATTAAGTCATCTCTTTAAATGTAAACTTTCATTTTTCTCTAAGTAGAGAGTCAATATTTGCAAACATTGTACAAGATGATGGGTCAACTTCCCATTATACTGCAGTACCATGTGGAAAGGTACTAAGGGCCCAAACACAAACAGGTCTACCTCACATTTCTCTACCAAAATCTTCAGGGTGTACTTCAATTGTTGAATCCATGCCCCATTGTTTCTGCACCTATGGCTACAAAAGAATTTTCATTATCTAACAGGAGACGACTTATCCTTACAAGGACTTCTCTCTCAAACACAACCTGCAAATGCAGGAGAGGCTTGTAGAGCACAGTCAGAGGAGGGATGG